TTTGCCTCATAACTTTTGCACTGTCCACTTCCTGCTGTGACAAAACAAATTTCCCACGTGTGGGACTAATAAAGGTTATCTTATCTTATCTTATCTTATCTTATCTTATCTTATATATAAACCCTTCCAACATGAAGTGTTTAAGGTCACGCCAAAGCATCTAAGGTCAGACCTTGACTTGGCCACTCCATAACCTTCAGTTTTACTTATTTGTTTATTTAGTTTAGTCATTCAGAGGTGGACTAGCTGTGTTTCAGATCATTTTTCTGATGCATAACCCACATACGCTAAGCTTCAGGGCACAAACTGACAGCTTGACATTCTCCTTCATGATTTTCTGGTAGAGAGCAGAATTCACGGTTCCATCAAGTAAAACAAGTCGAACAGGTCCTGAAGCAGAAAAGCAGCCTCAGACGATGGTCTGGCACTACCTCCACCGTGTCTGACTTTTGTTATGATGCTCTCTTTATGAAATTCTGTGCTACCTTTATGTCAGATGTAACAGGATGTAAACCTTCAAGAAAGTTAAACTTTTGTCTTAATAGACCACCGTTTATTTTCCCAACAGTCTTGGGGATCATCAAGATGTTTTTGGCATATGTGAGGTGAGCCTATATGTTCTTTTTGGTAAGTAGTGGTTTTTTTCCTTGGAGCTCTCCCATGGATGCAATTTTTCGCTCCGTCTCTTTCTGATTATTAAATCATTAACAGTTACAAGGTGTATCCATTTGTGGATTAAAGCTCGCGCTGTTTGCTGGAGTCCGAAGCCTTATAAGAGGCTTTGTAACCCTTTCCAGACTGATTAATGTCAATGACCTCTCTTCCTTGATTTAAGATGCAAGATTCAAGTAGTTTATTGTCATGTACACTGCAAAACACAAAAGGTTACGCAGAGTAATGAAATTCTTACTTTGCAGGTTCCCTTCACACAACTAAAAACACTAAAAAGAAAGTAGTAATAAGTAAAACAGTGTAGATCTTGTAGCTTATGTGTGGGTGTAATCAGAATTTAAAGTGCAAGTAGTTGCAACACTGTCACAGTGATAATATATACAGAGTATGCAATACTACAGCATATATGTAGAGATACGCACAAAAATTGCAAATTTACAGTTATGGATAATTATAGTTTGATAGAGTTTTGAAGTTTTGAATAGATGTTGTCGATTGTGCTCATAGACAGTCAGGAGAAGGACAGCATTTTCATTAGATGTGTATTTCTTCATAAGAATTATTAGTGTTTTATTTATATAACAAATGAATATTTATATAACAAATATATAACAATTTTTTAAATTATGTATGTATGCATATATATATATATATATATATACACACACACATGCATATCATATAGTATATATATCATATGTTACAATGCTACAATATTGCCTCAGTTCACTCATGCTGCTTTGATAACATCTCCAACACCTCATCAAACACAGAGATGATGGATGATGTGTCAGATGTAGCATTGACCCACCCGCCCTCTCAAGTTCAAATGCACCCCCAGCTGCAGACAGCTTAAAGTCTGAATTTAAATTCAGATGACACGTTTCGTTAGATCTGTCAAACAGGGCCGATCTTTTTTAAGGGGAACGCTCAGTGGTGGCATGACTGATCTAACGTCATACACACTAATAGACAGATAACGTAATCTCGGAAGAAAAGGAAAATTGTCTGAGATAGGCATGCCAATACTGCCTCCATCTTTTGGGCACTAACAAACACATACTCCAAAACAACTCATATCAAATTGCAGTTGTTTTTGGGACTGCAGCCCTGCTAATAGAAGAAATTTGGAATTCATTGGACATCTCACAGGTGCATACTATCATTTTCCTAAATCTGCAGTCAAATTTGTCCTTAAATTTGTTTAGCAAAAACTTAACTGCATTTAGGCGTGTAGACATGGTCCAGAAGACCTGCTGAAGTTCAAACCAAACATAAGAATGAGGAAGAAAGGTGGTTTAAGTGACTTTGAAGGTGGCATGGTTGTTGGTGCCAGATGGGTGATTTAAGTATTTCAGAAATTGAATTTTGCTGCAGAGCCATCTCTAGGGTTTACAGAGAATGGTCCAAAAAAGAAAAAAATATCCTGTCAGTGGCAGTTCACTGGTTTATGCCAGAGGTCAGAGGACAATGGCCAGACTGCTTCAAGCTAACAGAAAGGCAACATTAACTCAAATAACCATTCAAATAAACACTTGTTACCACGAAGCTTTGCATAAGAGGATCTCCAAACACAAGATGTTGAACAGCGAAGCAGATGGTTACAGCAGCAGAAGACCAAACTGGGTACCACTCCAATCAGAATAGAAAAGCAGGTGACATTTTGCAGGGACTTGCTAAAACTGGACAACAGAGCAATGGTAAAACGGTGCCTGGTCCTTCAAATGACAAGATGAGGATTTGGCTTGAACAGCATGGAAGCATAGATCCATCCTGCCTTGTATCAATCATTCAGTCTGGTAATGGTGGTGTGGGGGGACATTTTCTTGGCACACTTTGGACCCTTTAGTACCAAGTGAGCGTCATTTAAATGCCACAGCCTATCATGAATGTGCAGCCAACAAATCAACAGCAACTGTGTGACGCTATCATGTCAACATGAACTAAAATATCTGACAAATATTTCCTGCACCTTGGTGAATCTATGCCATGAAGGTTTGCAAAGGTCTGCAGGTACAAGTAAAGTGTACCTAATAAAGTGGCCTTTGAGTACACGTGTCTACTGATGCTTCTGTTGCATTTGTAAACGCCTACAAAATAACTTGACTATATTACACAAATACAACATAAATTAAGGCCCACTAAGAATAAACCCAAACAGTTGAATTTTTATATCTTATTATAGATATTAGTTTTAGATTGATTCTGGAGGATTTTTAGTCTGCTTTACATTAAAGTTGCTTTAC